CATGAAACGTGGGGCCATTTGGTTCCCCAAACTTCACGGCACCCTCCGCGGCTGCGTATTGTGGGGACGCCCTTGCTGGAGGGTTTGAGCACCAGGCCACGACAGTCCCTCTGCCCCACTTTATGAAATTGACATAGGGACACAAATGGGCAGAACTCAAAAATACGCCCCCCTGTAACCGTCCAGTCTTCAGGTCGCCATCGGCTGGACGAGCAGAGCTCGTTCTGGTATGTGTCACGCGGGGGCGCCGAGTTAGAGCTGTGGGGTAGGGGATGGCTTATGGGTTTAAATGTGCAAAGGGAAGCCCTCAGGGGTGTTTCCAGTGCTCAGACCCCTGCAGCTGTGTCTACACTGCGCGCTTGTTTCTAAATACCAGACTGTAGGTCTACCCAGCAAGTCCCTTCTTTCGAAATAATCTCGAATTAACGGGCTTCTTACCGCGACTCCTCCTGTAACCCTCTTTCCACCAGGAGTAAGGGAATTGGGGGGAAAAGCGCTCTTCCTTCCCCTTCCTGCTTGCAGACAGCGCCAAAATCAGGTAAGCGATTTCCACTCCGGCTATACAATTAACCTAGCCGAAGTTATGTACTTAATTCAACTTCAGCCCTGCTGTGCAGATGTGCCCTGAATGACAGCGTGATCAGCTTAACGACTTGAGAGCAGCCTGATTTTCTCTCAAGTTTGGGCTGGGGTTGGTCCTGGAAAGACAAGCGACCAAACCCTACACCGATGTATCCGTTCAACCAGGCAGTTTTCAATGGGGGCAGGAGTTTAGAAACAAGGGTTTCCCATCCAAAAGGAAGCCTGCATATGCTGGAAAGCGACCTGTCCCTTTGTCTCGGGCTGGCACGACACACCCACAAGACTAGCCGGGGACCCCGGGGAGCGTACACGCTCTTTGCTGGTCCCCATAGAGATTCCTGGGGGACTCTTGTGAAATTGACCATTTATTCTGACCCTTTGTTTCCTGCCTTTTAACCAGTTATCAGCGAACCAGACAGAAAAGAAAATCACCAGGCAGGGGAAAGGGACTGGCTGGACCCTCCCCACCCCCAATCTGGGACTGCCCCACCCCCCAGGTGCCCTTTAGGGAGGGTGGGAAGAGCTGAAGCTTCCCCTCCCCAGTCAATACGGGGACATCGCTGGCTGTTCCCCCAGGGGAAAGTGCCCAGTTTGCTGCATTCCTCACTCTGGCTGGGGGGGGTTCAGGGGGGCAGACAAACCTGGACCTGCCCCAGCTGGGGGATGTGCCCCCCTCCCCCATCTGTGCCTGCTGGAGCTGTAGTGGTCACAGAGAGGCGCTTCTCACCTGGCCCCAGCTGTGGTGACAGAGGGCTGGGGTTGTCCTCTCTCCCCAGGGCAGCCTGCACCCTGAACCCCTCCCTCCCAGCCCCACCCCAGAGCAGTGACAAATGAAGAAAAGCAAAAGTTAATGAATGGAGTAGTCCTGTGGCACCTTAGAGGCTAACCAATAGAGAGAGAGAGAGGACCATGAGCTTTTGTGGGCAAAACCCACTTCCTCGGGGAGCTGGAGTGGAAGTAACAGGAACCCAGAATTTATAACTGAAAAAAAGGGGGAGGGGGAAGTACCTGTTAATTGTAGGGCCAGTGCTAATGAGGCTAACAGAGGCCTGGAAATGTCTGGGACTCCACTTTGGATGCAAACGAAGGTTCTCTGGTTCTGCTGACTCTCTCCTCACCCCGCCCCCCCCCCCCCCCCCCCCCCGTTCCTTTTTTTTTTTTTTTTTTGGCTTGATCAAAAAATACTGGGTGTCCAGTATTTTTTGGGAGACCATCTAGCAACCCTACTGCTAATGTGATCTGTGCCAGCCAGGCCCCTCTGCTGTGACTATGGGCCAAACCGGGCAGGGATAAATGGACCAAATCAGACTCAGGAATGGTAGCACCCAGACCTGTAGGGACCATTTTAACCCGCCAGGGGTCTCAGTCCTGGATTTACAAGTAGCCGTTCCACAGAGGAATTTCACCAGCCGATACAGAGCGAGAGTGCAGAACTGACGTTTATCTACAAGTTGACACTGTTTCCCTGGGATTGGACAAAGCCCAGAACTGGATGTCGCATCATAAAGCCAGCCTGCCCTCATTGACACCAAAAGCCGAGTTCGGGACACTTCCAGCCCGCTCAGCTAACCTCATTAGCACCGGGCCTACTTTGACGGGGACGGGGACCTTTTTTTCCTCACCCTGCCTTTTCTGTTATGAATTCTGGGTTCCACTGCAGCTCCTCTGAGGAAGTGGGTTTTGCCCCCGAAAGCTCATGATCCTCTATGGCTGCAAGTCTAGACTGGACATGTCTAGACTGGCAAGTTTTTCTGCAAAAGCAGCTGCTTTTGAGGAAAAACTTGCCAGCTGTCTACACTGGCCGCTTGAATTTCCGCAAGAACACTGACGATCTCATGTAAGATTGTCAGTGTTCTTGAGGAAATGCTATGCTGCTCCCGCTCGGGCAAAAGCCCTCTTGTGTAAATGCTTTTGCACAAGAGGGCCAGTTTAGACAACGCGGTGTTGTTTTGTTTAAAAAAGCCCCGATGGCGAAAATGGCGATCGGGGCTTTCTTGCACAAAACCACGTCTAGATTGGCACGGATGCTTTTCCACAAAAAGTGCTTTTGCGCAAAAGTGTCCGTGCCAATCTAGATGCTCTTTTCCGCAAACGCTTTTAACGGAAAAGCTTTTCCTTTAAAAGCATTTGCGGAAAATCATGCCAGTCTAGACGTAGCCTATATGTTTTTGCTAGTCTCTACTGTGCCTCAGGACTGCTCATTGGTTTTAAAATTAGAGACTAACACGGCTGCCCCTCAGAAAAATTAAGGACCAGAGCAACGCCGGGGAAATCTACCAGTGACCTAAACAAGGGGCTAACCACAGAGCTGGTGAAGTTTGCAGAGGACACAACGTTAGTCACGATACTTAAGTCCAAAGCAGACTGACGAGTTACAAAGGGATTTTGCAAAACAGGGTGACAGGGTAACAAAACGGTAGATGGAATTCCACGTTGATCAGTGAAAAGTAATGCCCATTGGATAGTTGGGATTCTCTTTTCCATGTACAAGGACGGGGTCTAAATTAGGGGTTAAGAAGATGATCTTGGCGTCATGATGGATAATTCCCTGAAAACATCCACTCACCGTGCAGCAGAAGTCAAAAACAAAACAAACCAAAAAAGCAAAAAACCAAAACAACCCCCCAGCCCCAGAAAGTTGGGAATCCTTGGGAAAGGGATAGGGAATGAGAAAATAGCAGAATGCCTCTGTATAAATCCTTGGTACGTCCACAACTTAAAAACTATGTGCAGATGTGGTCACCTCATCTCAATATATATATAGGAATTGGAAAAGCTACACAGAAGGGCAACTAAAATGACTGGAGATAGGGAACAGCTGCCATATGAGAAGATTGAAAAGACCCGGCCGGTTTAGTCTGGATGTGGAGATATGTTAGAGGTCAATACAATCCAGGCTGTCATGGAGAAAGTGAACGGGGAAGTGTTATGTATCCTTTCAAGTCACACAATCTAGACAGCAGGTTTAAAACCAATAGAAAGCACTTCTTCACACCATGTGTTGTTAACCTGTGGAACTCCTTGCTAGGGGATACTGTAGGGGGCAAAAGTGTATCTAGGTTCAAGGCAAGTCCCTGAAAGACAGGCTCATGAATGGGAACTATTATTTAAAATATTTTTACCCTGCCTCTCTATTTAAAATATAGAAAGTGGCTTACAAAATGTGTTTAAAACACAATAAATAAATGAATATAAAGTAAAAAACAAGACCCCAACGGGGGGGCATAACACCTCCTGAAACACCTCAAGAGGAGGGACAGACACAGACACACACACGTAAATACCAATAAAAGCCTGGGTAAAAAGGGTGGCCTTGGCCTGGCACTGAAACAGCGCCAACGTTGGGGCCAGGCGACTATCCCAGTGGAAGAGAACTCCATGGCCTGGGGTGAAGGCTGAGAAGGCCCTGCCCCGCGTAGATGTCAACCGTATCTCCATAAGTGAAGGAGCACAGATCACAGCCTCCCTTACTGACCTCAGTCCCCAGGCAGGTTCATATAGGAGGAGACCGTCCTTCAGCTAGCCTGAAATGGGTTGGGTCCGGGGTTTCTAGATCATAGCTGGAGCTGGAGCAGGGGGGAGGACGCAAGGCCCTTGCCAGCCCCATGGGGTCCAGTCCTGCACTCCCCTCTCCCGCTCTCCCATACTTTTGGGAGCCTGAGTTCTTCTGACTCTGGATCTTCCCCTCCTGCTGGAGCACCAGGACTGCTTGGAAACTCGTCCCCACCCCAACCCCATCCAGTGGCAGGGAGTTCCACAGGCCAACGGTGGGCCAGGAGGGCAACTTCCTTGGAGGAGCTGGGAAATCCCTCCAGGTGTCATGGGACCCTCTGGCTCCCTCCTGTGGCCATATCTGGAGGTGCAGCTGCTCCGGCCCAAATCTCATCTCTTCACGTTTCCAACGGTATTTTTTCTTTGGGACATTTTAATGGGCAACAGAGGGGTCCTTAGAGGACAGAGGAAGTTACCTGCTCAAGGTCCCAGAGCAGACCCTGAAAAATAACCTTGCCCCCCCACTCTAACCACTAGACCCCACATACTTCCCAGAACTAGCTCCTAGCTCTCCCGACTGCACGCACTGAAGCCACAATACACCCAATCGTGGCAACATACTGGGGCCAGCATTCCCCTGGGCCAGGCCAAGCTTGGGGCTACCACCTGGTGCCATAACCCAAATATCCTCCCAGCCACTCTGCCCGGGAGAGGCCGGCTCCACACAGCTGCAGACAGACAGACAGACAGACAGACAGACAGACAGACAGACAGAGACTTTCCTGCGTCACCACAGATTTCGCTTTAATTGGCACTTGTGAATTTTTATAGAAAAAGGATTTTTTAAAAAACCCTACAAAAAGCCTCTGTAAATAGGTTTGACTTAACCCCCCCCCCCCCCCCCCCCCCCCCCCCTACCAACTGGTTCACTATTTACAGCACATATATTAAAATCATTAGCAGAACCCTTTCCCCTGCCTGGAAAAAGCCTTTATAAAGTGTCCCTGCATTTGTTTGCACTACAGCACCCGTCTGAGGTAGGTGAGTCTTGTGGGAAACTGAGGCACAGCTTGTGTGGCTGTGGGTGCACATGCTTGTTTTTGTGCCAGAAGAGCCAACAATGGAACCCAGGAGTCCTGGCTCCCAGCCCCTTGCTCCATCCACTAGGCCCCACTCTCATCCCAGAGCTGGTTCCCAATCTTCCCCCTCTCTAACCACTAAGCCTCTCTCCCCTCCCACAGCCAGGGAGAGAAAGGCCTGTCTTCCCTTCCCTTTGCCTTTGAGCTCTGCCTATGTGGCTGGTCCCCAAGGACACGGACTCGACTGGCTCAGCCTCATGGTCTTGGGGGTCGCATCCCCTGCCTGACAAGAAGAGTGGTTAACCCTTAAGACACCAGCTGGGAGGTGGGGAGAGGACATCCCCAGCTTCCAGCCATTTCCAGCCTGCTTCCTTGCATGGCCACCAGGTGGCGCTGTTTGCATGGCAGGATAGAGCTGTGGTGAGTTCCACCCAGTCTCAGCCTCAGGGTGCTAATTGGGAGAAAGGGCTGGGGGGCAGGAGGGAGAGGGGCTGGAGTCTTTCCCCTCTCCCACCCTGCCCCTAAGCCTTGGCAGCGCGGTGGGTGAGGCGCCGCAGCCGGTCGGCGTTGGGTCTCTTGGTCAGCGAGGGCTTTGCTCCGAGGCTGACGTAGTAGAAGGAGAGAGGCTGGTAGGTGGGGATGTAGCTGACCAGGCGCTGGGCAGTGCAAGGAACCCACATGGGGGCTGGGACGTAGAATAACTCAGCAGCCTGTGGGGAAAGAAAAGACCTTAGCAGGAGTCGAAATATCCAGGGACCCCTCGCCCAGAGCCAAGCTGCGGCTGCTTCTGGGGTGAAGCATAGGGGCTGTTTATACAGGGATCCCTTGCCTGGAGCCAAGATGCAGCTGCCTCTGGGGAAGGGGATAGGGGCTGTTTATACAGGGATCCCTTGCCTGGAGCCGAGATGCGGCTGCTTCTGGGGGGGGGCCTGGGGGCTGTTTATACAAGGATCCCTTGCCTGGAGCCGAGATGCAGCGGCCTCTGGGGTGGGGCATGGGGGCTGTTTACACAAGGATCCCTTGCCTGGAGCTGAGATGCGGCTGCTTCTGGGGTGAGGCATGGGGGCTGTTTATACAAGGATCCCTTGCCTGGAGCTGAGATGCAGCTGCCTCTGGGGTGGGGTGTTCTGCTCACCCGGCGCCAAGATGCGGCTGGCTCTGGGGTGGGGCGCGGGGACTGCTTATCCAGGGACTCCTTGCCTAGTGCCAAGATGCAGCCACCTCTGGAACGTTCACTCCAGATGCAGGGGCACGGCTCGGGGGTGGGGCCTTTCTCCGGGGTACCAACTCTGCTCCAGCCCCAAGGGGATGGACTGGCTGGCTGGGGGGGGTGGCTCTAGGCCCCTTGGGCTCCACCATCAGCAGCCCTGTTTATTGGTAAGTTTGCTGGGTCCCAGCCCCACGCCCCGTAAGGACAGGGATCCCCCCTCCCTCCAGCTGGGCCACAGGTACCCCTTCCCTGCAATTCACCCATCACCTGTTTGCTAGGCTCCCGTGGCACAGGTTGGCTCGGGGCCAGAGCCGGGGCCGGCAACAAGGCAGGCTTGGCCGATCCCTCGTCCTCCGAGGAGCTGTCCGAGGGCGATGCCGAGTGATAGTCCGACGTCTCGGGCTCCGGGGTCCCTTTGCCGCTGGCCTCTTCTGAGGGGCTCCTGTTCTCCCCAAGTCTGGGGGACGGGCGCGTCGGGAGAGGGGGAGAGAGGGTGCTCGAGACCATGCCCACAATGGTCCCTGTGCCCCTTACCCCCCAGCCAGCTCCCTGCCCTGGGATGGCTCAGAACCAGCCCCCCCCAGAGGAGACAGGCCCTGTGCCCCGTTCCCGGCCCTCCTGAGCCAGCCAGTCCCAACCCGAGAGCCAGTGCGGGGCGAGGAAGGGCTTAGTGCCTGGTGGGGGAGCTGCGTGGGACCAGGACAGAACCCAGGAGTAGTGGCGTAACGGGCTGAGCTACGGGCGATTCTCGAGGCACTGCAGCAGTAGTAGGGCTTTTGTCTCCTACAGGAGAGGTCCAGCAGGGTGCTGCGAGCCGGGGGCGGGGGAGAAACTCACCTACAGCAAACTTCCCCTGGGTCGATCCAGAGCGCCAGCTCCCGGGGCAGCGCCAGCTCCGAGCACTCCAGCCCCCAGCCCACACAGGCCTGGAGCAGCGACTCGTCCACCCGATGCCTCCGGTTGATGCGGATACACCTGGAGTGGGAGAGGCCGGGGAGGGGGTCAGAGACCAGCGACCTGATGGGACCCCCAGCAGGCAACCGCCCCACCACCCATACAGCGAGCCCCAGCTACAGCTCGGGCTGTGGTACCCAGCGGGCTGAGCCTCCCCACCACAGCCCCCAGCCCTGGCTGTGCCTGTAGGCCTGCCCCTTGGCGGGGTTCTCGGGGTACCAGTGCTGGCTGTACCGCTCGCGCAGGACGGCGGCCAGGTGCTCCCCGAACTGCTCCATGCGCCCCTCGTCCAGCTGGCCGTGCCGGTTCACCAAGCGCGACAGGAACCGGGCGCCCGTCTCCACCTCCTCTCTCATGGCGCAGGCGGGGCTCGTCCTGGGGGGGCAGGACCCCGGTGAGCCGCTTGTGGGGGGCAGGGGAATGGGGCTCAGGGTACTGAGGGGCTGGATCCAGGGGAGCTCTGGCCAGCGAGGAACAGGAGGGGTTTGTGTGGCTGATGCAAGCCGGTGACATCACTGCGAGTCAGGAACAACGGCAGGATTGCAGCCCAGTTACATCACCACGCGCCTGCTCAACTAGGCTCAGACCTATGGCCTGCCCGGCTTCCTGGCCCATCCAATCCCCCCTGGGGCCATTCACCCTGGCGTCCTATCCCCCATCAGTGCCTCCCCCAGGCCTGACACCCTGGTATCCCCCTTCGTGGGTGGCCTCAGCCCATTTCTTGGTGCAGCCTGGCCTCTCGTGTTCCCACCCACAGCCCGCCCCGGGTGTCACAAGGTTACAACACAGCCGGAAATCCAGGGCTGAGGCGTGGGAGAGACTGGCAGAAAGACACCTCCCTACACACCCACCAGACAGAGACACAGGCGGAGAGGGCAGTAAGGGTAAGAGACAGTCCCAGAGAAACAAGCAAAAAAAAGCACAGACACACAGTCGGACAGCTGCTCACACCCAAATACACACACAGGCAGAGAGGGAAAGACCCCCAGAGAAACACACATGTGGGCACACAGACACCCTCAGAGAAAAACACACAGAGACACCCCCCAGACACCCACATACAACCAAGCAGTCCCCCCCACCCCTCCTCACATCACAAGCAGGCAGGCCTCAACACACAGAGGGAAAGACACCTCTGGAGAAACCAGATCACCTACAGGCACCCAAAAGCAAAGGTGCGGAGTCAGGGATCGAGACATCCCCAGCCAGGATGGGGACTACACCCCACAATGAGTCTGTGCCAGCCTCAGTCAGGCGGCCACCAGCAGGTTCGGATGGGGGTTTGGTGGCCTCCAGCCTCCTCTTAGCACGGTCAGCCCTGGAGGCCAACCTACGACTAGCCATAGTTATGCTAAACCTGACCCATGCAGCTGCCTTGTGCGCCCACTTGGTTAAGGTGACACCCTGAGGCTGGGCTTCTATACACCACCCTGGTTGTCCAGAGACAAGGCCACAGAAGGGCAGCTGCCAAGCCAACCCAGGGGAGTTATACAGCTCTGACCAGGCCACAGAAGTGTTAATTAGCTGGAATTAATTGGCAATCATTTAACTCCCAAGAGAGGGGAAATGAAGTGCACTCCCAAGACACACTCGCACACCATTTCTCCCTCACACCCACGGTGCTGGGCCTACAGCTATGCCAGCACAGGCTCATCAACACCCTGCCACCCAGAGACCCCCGCACAAAGATACAGGCACTCAGAGATGCAGATGTACAACCCCAGATACACACAATCACACCCAAAGCCATGAAGATGCACAGCTGTACCCAGGCACACACCCCTCTGCACACATACAACCATACAAATAAACAGACACACCCAGACTCTCACTCACAGCCACATGGTCTCACAGAGGTGCAAAGCCCCACCCCTCACAATCTCAGCCCCTCCCCCCTCATGTGTGGGACTTTCAGGAGAACTTCCCAGGTTGGGGAATCCTGGACCTAGCTCTGGGGAACCTTGTTCCCGCCTGCCCCCCGGGGTGGGGTGAAAGTCCCAGGCTGGTCTCAGGGAGGTGGCTGTAGGTGACCCTGGCAGGGGTGGGGGTCATCAGTCCCCAAACAACAGCTGGAAAGGGAAGAAGCACCTTC